TATATATATATATATATATATATCAAGTGGATAAAAAAATAATAATATTTATTTTGAGTCTAAAATCCAAATTTGTTCACTAGACTTTACCATAAAATGTGAAAGAATAATAAAAAGGCTAGTAAAAAAATAGATTTAAACAGGACAGAAAATAGATTTAAACAATTAATGTAGACATGTAAATGTAGCTTGATCACTCAGTTGAAAAAGTCACTTATAAAAACAGTACTCATAACATTTTTTAAATGGATGAATCTCGAGTTCCCTTTCAAAAGTAGCCCAAGAGTCTATCCTATGAAGTAAATGGTCAGAAGAGAGTTACTGGGGGGTGGGAGTTGTAAATTGACGCAAGATGGTATAAATATAGTGGGGCCAAGATATAAAAAGCAGCGTGTGCATACACTTAAAGTTTAAAAAGAATCCGTGCTTTTATGGAATAGGACTTAAGATTTTAATAACACAAGAGTTAAGCATTACAAATTTATATAGTTTCAGTGTTTCATGTGGGAGGACAGAGTGGATGGACAGTTTCTACACCACTTACCTCTGCTATCATCCTGTTTGTGTCTCCTAAGAACAGCAAGTTGAGGGCCTCCTCCTCATTACTAGCTGTGTGAGTGGACAGGTTCTTCAGGTGAACATTTTGATCAGAATCCTCCATCAGACTCACTTTGCTGCAAATTACAATGACAAAATTATTGTTAAATCCCCAGTGCTTTGCTGAAAGCAAATAAATGTAATGTATTAAGTGGAACTTTAATTTCTAGATAAGAAATAGCTTTGTTTTGGTCGCCTATTTCACTGTTAATTACAATAATAAAGTTATGGAAAAAAATTAGTGAAACATTTCTTTGTAGAAGATTATCTGATTTAGGCTTCTAAAAGTTGTTAAACAAAAATTTGATTTTAGTTAGTAAAATATTTCAGACTAGTGGTCAATATACAAAATGCATATCCTGCAGTGTTTAGAGTAAACAACATGATGTAAAGACACTTACGGAAGATCTTCTAGTTTAGCCACTTCATGTTTGGGATCCAGCAGATCATATCCGTTCTCATTGTAGATCTCAAGGTATGAGATATGAGTGGAATGTTCAAAGCCGGGATTCTGGAAAAATAATAATAATAATAATAAGATTCTTATATGGCGCCTTACATTCTATCTCAAGGCGCCTTACAATAATGGCTAATATGCTAAAATCATTAAAATGACTACAATATTTTAATCATAAACTCTCATTGGAAACCATTTAAAATTTACACTACTAAAAATCAATCTTATTAAAAAAAATAAAATAAAATAAAAAAAAACATATATATATATTAAAATAAAATCTAAGAGATATAGACAGAATTAAAAAAAAAAATTAAGGAATAAAAGATTGATCTAAGGTGTAGCTGTTCAACACATGGGCCTGAAAAGATTTTGTAAATCCTTTTAGATTGCACAACAGACTACAGAAATGTTTTTAAAAAAGCAATTTCATGTGACTGACAAAAAGACAAATTGCTTTTGTTGCTTAAACATTTAACTTTTAAAATAAACATAGAGACCAACCATTCTCTCTCTCTCTCTCTCTCTCTCTCTCTCTCTCTCTCTCACACACACACACACACACACACACACACACACACACACACACACACACACACACACACACTTTCTAACTTTGGCATCACTAGAATATATTCAGCATTGATAAAATGACATGTAACTAACATCTATAATATAACTTTTTACAAATGCTGTATAACCCCACTCTGGTTTTCAGAGATACAAAATAACCCCCATTATCAGCCTGTTTCCAGCTACTTGCAGAAGCATGCTGATAATATCGGTTATCTGTGAAACTCAGAGTGTATGATCTTAACTTACATAACTTACCTTTTCAAACTGTTCAAAGATATATGACAAAGACCTTGGTATAATGCCTCTGTCCGCATATCTCTCAGCACCACCAGTTATTGTAAATGTCTTGCCACTCCCAGTCTGAAACATTCACGCAGTCATAATGAAACATTTCATAAGCACAGCCATAATGAAACATTTGGTAGCAGTGAAGGAATTCCAATCCTCAAATATACAGCAAGGCAATGGTAAACTGCTATGGTCAGCAGTGATAAAAAAATGATGAAATATTTTTCAAAAAAATGTTTTAATAAGACATTTTAGTACTGACCATAGACCTATATACTGAAATGAATCACACTATCTCCTACAATAAGCACTTAAAAGACATATCCAAAATATACGAAATGAATGAGCCCTAATTCAGATACAAAAATTTTGAACTATATAAAAACTGAGCAAATGAATAGTGGTCTCACCTGTCCATAGGCAAAAATAGTTCCATTGTAGCCTTCAAGAACACTGAAAAAAAAGAAAGACATTTTTTTTCTAAATTTGTGCAACACCAACAGATACAAAAACAACAGCATATCTGGCCAACTGTAACAATATTTTGATAGAAAATTATCGACATAATCATTTATATCTTATTAATTGTCCTTCAAAGAAAACTAAAAAGTAAATCAAGGCAACATTATTTTACATCAATATACCTAAATCTTCTACAAATGTTAACAATGTCTTTTCTTCCTTTCAAAGAACTTTATTATTAACCTACTTGTCTATGACTGGTCTGGCCACATTTTCAAATACTTCTTCTTGTTTGGTAGGTTGATCAAACAACCTCTGAAATCTAGAAAGAAAGAAATTCATCAACAATAATTCATTATATATATTTTATACATTTATACATATTCTATTGTTGTCAAGCTCACTGAATGTTAGAAGTTTTAAAGGTTGTTTTATATTCTCATAATTCTATGATTTTTGGTGAAATTTGAAGAGGAGGAGACGGGCAAAAGTTGTTTTTTATTTACCCTTTATCTCTGAATTTCTAGGAAAATATGGTTCACTTTGGTACATCTTGCAATACCTTTGTGGGCCATAGCATGTGGCGCTCACTTTAAAAATTTTTGATCTGAAGTCTCTCCAATATTTTCATTTATTAATTATTACTATCTTTTATGTTACATAAAGAAATGTACCTGAACTTGTACTGCTCTTTCTTGTTGTTTATGAAACCACCTGCAAGATCTCTAGGTACCGTAAAGGTGATTCTAGGATTCCCACCGTCATCTTCATCTATTTCATAAGGCTAAAAGGTAGGAGAAATATGTCACAAACTTAAATTATGTATTTCTCTGTTAATATGTTAACTATTTTGTTCAATAATTTTTTCAAACTTATTGAAAGTCCTATTAGTCATTTACATAGATAAGTTGTCATTGGCCTATTGAAAAGATCATGATTAGTTAATTATGTAGCTTCGATTTATTCATCTTGCCAAATTGTATGGAGATTTAACTGAGCATTAGAGACGTTTTAAAACATTACCTAAATAATGTTTAAAAAATTCAGTGATATAATTTTACAAATTACAATTGAAGCCCTTTTCATATTGAGTTATACAGTTTTCTATATTGTATCATTCTGACTGGTCCTAACTTGTAATTAAGGCCATTTTAACTACCTTTCACAAGCCCCAATTAAGATACTAAAATATTTTTAAATCTTTAAAAAATTACTAATTAAAATAAACCCAGTAAATTGATCATGTATAAGGCTCCATTTAGGTGAATTATATAAAGGCCAGGCTATTAAGGGCATCCTGAAATAGGTGTAGTTTGCTTTAAAGTGCAGAAAAATACACAAAATCCATGATAATGATAACAGGTATAGCTGGCTTTGTCCTTATGTCTCATTTTTACCATTTTTACCTGTTAAAGTGCCTAGAAGTGTATGACATTAATTGGACATAGACAGCAATGGGTTCTGGTACAGTTCTTGACAAAGATATAAAGAACAGTCCAGTGCAAAAGAATTTTGATAAGATCTTTTAAACGGATTTTAGATGGTCCAGAGAAAATTGGTGTAATTTAACAATTTTAGTAATAAAAACTAGTTGGAGTGACTGTAAAAAAAACAACTGCAACATTTTTGTAATACTTATGAACAGCCCCTCTCATTTGTTGGTATTTTTCTGATACAGCCCCAAGTAACAGAGAAAAGTCAAAAAACCAAAAATAATATTTTCACCTCTAAACAGCTGACATAATGAATTTTAATTCATTTAAAAAAATTTTAAATAATCAGCAAAAAGACCTCCTTATTTCTAGCCTAATTTTGGCAAACTGGTTATATATCCTTGAGTTTTTAATCTCTTAAATGGGCATGATACAAAAAAAAGTGTACAACTCCATGTGAAAATGGCCTAGTTGAAAATCTGCCACTGCTTGTATGCTCGGAATATTTTTTCAAACAAATATTATCAATTTATTCAACCAATCATCATTATTTTCTTTTCAACAGGTTATCTTTCTTTTCTCTGTCTTTATATTTTTCCACTACATCAAAGAAAAATATTGGTACAGTGGTAACGTTTTTGTTAGTAGTAGCGCTGTCAAAGATAATCAACGACAACGGAAAGTTAGTCTTACCCCAGTCTTAGCCCTTGTCGGTTTGACACGTAGAAAGATCTGGATCGTCTGTTTCACCATCTTTCTTGACGAATTCGTTTAAAGATTCAATAACTCGACTAGTTGTCCATTGGACAGTTTTTTACAGCCATAATTCGACAAAATGTGACCGATAATCGCATTTGTTGACAACCACGACCGCCATACTAATACCTGTGTAACTTCGAAGCAATTGGAATGTGAGTCTGTGATTGGTCAAAAAAAACAGCTACTTGACCCAGGACTTGACCCCAACTCAGTCACACTGACGGTGAACGGGAAGAACGAGTAGCAGGTAAGGCTTCACTTAGGGCGTCCTTTTTCTGACTGGCCAGTTTAATCTTTTAAAGGGTGGGGTCAATTTTATTAAATTTAATGCATTTATATTTTTATTTCCAATGTTAATACGAGCTTAGTTTGACGTTCACGTGCACATACTTACGGAAAATATCGAGTCAAGTCCTACGCTGTACCAGTGACAGTAAATGATAGAAGACTTCAAGTAGTATCATAAGTTCATCAGTGACTGATGGTTTCAATTTTTCTGCAGGCTCGGGGATATACCTGAGATTAATATGCTAATGGTATGTCAGACATTATAACTGTAAAAATGTTTGTGGTTCAGTTATGTTTACAGAAGAAAATCTGTCGAAGAAGTAGATCTAATTTAATATTTAATTTCGACGATATGAAAAAAACGAAATAAATTGCAAAAATATGTGATATGATATACATTTTATAATTGACAGTGTCTTGTATAAGTTCTAGCATATCAAAAGTAAATTATTTTTGTAACTTGGCGACATCTTAAAATGCAACATTGCTAGTATATTAATATCAGCATCACTGAAGCTCTTAAATTAACCCACTTTTAATATTTAGGATAAAAACCAAACATATTAGCAGAACAGAAACACTTCAAGCTTAGTTCAATGAACAAATTCTTGCACACATCAACTTAGTTGGGCCAAAGGCTTCTTGAACTTGGTTGAACTCTAGTCGCATGTCAATAATACTGTGTGCTTGAATTTGTATCACATTTGCATGTCCGTATAATTCCCCATATTTGTTTTAGAAATGTGTTATATAATTAGCCACAAGCTGTGAGTATATGGTAGTTGTACAATTGTTGGATTTCCCTAGAACAATAGAGCAAATCAATAACTTTCTCTTTATTGGTCAAAGGCCAGGGATTATGCATGTTCACATGGCTTTTCAAAATCCAAAAATTTTCTATCATCCAAACATAAAATTCGTTATATTTTTTATGAGTAAGTGTAAAAGTTTTAATGATTAAGTGTAAAAGTTAAAACAAGCATGTAATCTTTATCATTTTGATTGTCATTTCTTTCATTAAAATTTTTTACACCAATAAGCATCTTGGTATGATGTTAAATAGTTTCCTCACGAACCTGCCGTCTGAAACTGAAGGCACTAGTTCACTTTTCTGTATCATATAAGGTGTCCTTTTAATATGGCCAATGTATTAGCTTACTTTGATCAAAGTTTGAAATGGGTCATTCTAGCTCTTATAGTCCAGATTTTAAACATTAGGAAGAGCACCACCTAGTAGAGTACATAAGATGATTTATACCCAAAGAACATATTTTGTCAGTTGTATATAACTTTTCATAAATTTCATTGCTGATTCTCGAGGTCATCATCTGGTCATCTGTTTATGTCATCAGACCCAAGTGGTCAAATCCTTATCATTTCCATATATATTCATGTAAATAAAGAATATGCCATGGATTCCAGTACATGATCCATATTCATATGCTCTGCTACTTAGAGCATACTAATTATGTATAACCAGGTCTTGCCTAAAAGTGCAGGCTTAACTTCCAATTTGTTATCTTGATTAAACCATATTATTACCAAAGAAAAAGACTGCATTTCATTTCAATGCAAAGTGATGCACAATTAAATTCTAGATATTAAAGGTGTTTCATCAGTTATTTAATTAACAGTAAGATGTACTCAGATGCATGCATCACATACCTCCTTATAGATAATTTAAGTTATTCTCTTGGAATGTCATTTGGAATTTTGAGACTTCTTGTATTATCTGACCTGTACACAAGAGTGCATGATGCTCAAACCATTAAGGATATATATATATATATATATATATATATATATATATATATATATATATATATATATATATATATATATATCATATTAGCAACTGCAAAATTAAATTCTTTTGATGTCTATTTTTGTATATGGGTACAGAATGTGCCCTATGCATGATATACACCTATAACTTAGCTGTACAGGTAACTTTTCTGTGACTGTGCACTTTTTTGTAAGATGAATTGGTGGTTTTTACATTGTGTAAATTTTTATACAATAACTATAAGAAGCCATACATATAAATATATATTTTCTCGATATAACTAGTGTTTGCTATTCAAGATATGTTTCTTTTGAAGCATGTATTGGTTGCAAATAATATAAAGCCAGTCCAGAAGTTTAATGATTAGGGATGTGCTATTGATTTTTCTATTGATTGGCAGTACCAGTAATAAACTCGACAATATTTGCCGTGTTTGCTAGTTGATGCTGAAAAAAATGCACACAGGCACTCACACACACACACACAAATATAGACACTGAGTAGGTCTTCAAATGCTCTTTATTGTACCTACTATACACAATTTAGTCAATTTACTTGTAGAAATGGCCACATTCCATATTTCATCACCCTGACAGCCAGGGTGTATTTTATCAACTCATGCCCAATTTATTTCAAAATATTGATCAAGTCCTTGTGTGAAAGCCAGCAAGCAGATCCTTGGTTGATTTTCTCCAGTACAGTAGGAAAGTGATGCCGTGTGTTTGAACTGTGACTGTACAGTCTACAGTGAACTGAAGATGAAAGTGTATGAAATTGAGGGTTTGAAAGGGAGAAAAAAGTGATTAAAGCAAATGGTAAAGAGAAGCAACAGAAAAGGGATTGTTAAGCTACCCATGTTAATATTAAAATAATCTGGTGATTTTACGCATTGATATCTTTGAGGAAGCAGGTTCCCAGTTTTTGAGCAGTGTCATTACAGTGTCTCCCAGAAATCCAGGGGAGAGAATCATGAAGAAAAACCTATTTTTATCAGGGTGGCAGGTATTCTGACACATTTTCCAAAGTTTGACGATTTGCCATATTTAGCCAGAGACATTATCTGTAAAGTCTTGGTTGTTGCATGGGTAAAAGTTCTCAGGATTATGCCCGATTCCAAGATTTATCTGCCTTCATTTTGATCATTTTTTTCATATGATATAAATACAATAAGAAATTGCTAGCTACAATGTCAGGATTTGCAGTTTTTACAACTTCACCCATGTTATTGTGTGTGGTTTTGAATAAGGATGGAGCATCTGTTATCACTGGCCAACTGGAGAGGTCACTTTTTGCCCGTGGGGTCAATTTGGAAGCAGCAGTTATGCAATTGCAATTAATTTCCCAATTAAGATAAATGCTTCTGATTGCTTAATTAATTGGGTTCAATTGAGGGAGGAATGGCTTGGGTCCTGAGAGGCTTGCCATATTCCTTGCTTTAAAGTTACTGGTAAAATTATGTAAATTAACACATTTGGTAAACTAATGAAATTCTAGAAAGTTGTGTTGTATGCAGGTAGCTCAAGTGATATATTTTGCTGTATACTGGGAATTTAAAAAAAAAAACCCGTATTATGATAACCTGATAATGTTTGTTGTATGGATGGAAACTAATGCCTTACTGGAGCATTTAGGTTTTTGATTTTCACAAATCAATTTTTTCATGTGAAAAAATGTCTATCTATAGCCAAATTTTTGGTTATAAATGTACGGGCAGGAATAGCATGTTTAAAAACCACAGCTTCTGTTGTGCAATATTGTAACAATGCAACCAAACCTGGAAATTTAGTCTCGAACTAATTTGTTTATTGAAGAATCTATTGAGCCATATAATCGATTTGAGTGTGAAAGTTATCAGAAAATCTGGCTCTAAATCAACGCGATAAGATTGTATCAGCAGTAAGAAGTAGCTGGCTTGTAGGCAGCATTCTGTTCAAATTCGTTGATTGAGACTTAACATTTCTACCTGGTATAATGCTTGGTAAACACTACTTTCTCATGCACAAATACAGTGGAATTGTACAAGTCTTTTCACTTCTTGTGAGGATTATTTGTTTACTATTGGGGGCATATGTGGGGTGAGAGTGTATCTTTGCATGTGAAGTTAAATTAAGCTAACATTTTATGCATTCGTACTTTGCTCTGGTGGCTAAATACAAAATGCAGTAAAAGCTAACGGTGGCTTGTGTAATAAGTTTTATTGAGTTGGTAATTATATACTTTTTTATCCAAAAGGATGAGAATGTTTAAAAATCAAAATGTTTCTTCAGACTTACAGCCTATTTAAATCTCTAAAATGCTCCACTGCCAAGGCTTTCCCCAGAGACCCATCCAGCCATCATTTGGATGGCCATAAGCCTCAAAAGACATCCATATTTCCAAAGACAGCTGAAGGGTCTAAAAAAAATTTTGGGTTGGTTGGTTGAGCTTGCTTGGGCTGGACTCCCTGTAAATCTAGACCAAATTAGCGATTCACATTTTGGACTCCCTGCACACCAAATCCTAATGAAACCCCTGGCACTGCTTAAGTTTTGTTTGTTATATTACAGCAATTGTACAAAGAGAGTTTAGGGGAGAATGTGTATGTATAGGGTACAGACTTGATATCTGTCGAACAACAACTTACACTTGATCCCACCTTTCAACTCAATTCCTCCTTTGACACTGGGATCAAGCCTTACTACCTGAAGCTAAGGTCTAAGGCCCACTCATGATTCCTTTATTTCCTATCAAGAGCATTGTCTGCAGATTGGTACTTGATCTCATGGAGTTTGACATGAAGGATATTTTTATTTCTTTGCAAGTCTAGGGTAGTACTAAAAGAACTGGTATTATATAATTCTTTGCAGAATGGTAAATGGTCAATATCCATTATTGGATAACTTTGTGAGTGATTGTAGGAGATATGCCTATTTACCATCAATGAAGGAAAATTGAAATGGCAGTCAGACATAGGGATAACACGAGGGGACACTAATCCTCTTAAACTGTCCTGTTTGAGAGGTAGGCAGGACCTGGTCTATGTCATTTGATAAAATGGTGAAGGAATATTTAAACCTCCTTTGTTCTGAGTACTAATCGTGGGCACTTCAAGTTACACCCAGACATGAAGTTGTTGATAATTTGTATGTAGCCTCAGACCAGCCTTTATTTGGACAACTAGGAAGGGCTGATCTAGATAAATAGTTTCGAAAATGCTTTTAAGCATTCAAAAAAATATGCTGATTTGGCATAAGAAACTGTTAAATATTTGTTATGCTTTTCGGTATTTATTTAAATTGGTTCAAAATTTTGGATCATTTTGAAAAAATTATGGTAAAAAGAAATTCCATCTCAGAGTGAGCCGTGCAGATGCCTTACATAGTCCCCCTTGCCTAAGAACAGAAAGCTGATTCAGTTAATTTTCCGAATTGCTGACAACCTACATTTTCTGCATTGTATGATTTCTTAGTGAAACATGATTTATTTTCAGATTTTTCTGCAGTTTATATGTGCAATACAGAATTATTATTTTATCTTTGATTAACGGGTACTCTGTGTTAGTATTTTATGAAGTATTAAGACTTATTTTAGATAAAGTGTGACTGTCTCCTTGTTTTGACTTTCTCCTTGCAGTTTTTTAAATTTAAGGTTGAGATCTTTAGAAATGTAACTGTAAGTTAGAGAAGTTCTTCCAGTGAACAAGTGAATTTTGCAAAATGAAGTCAAGTCCTGTGCATGTAGACCCACCCTTTCTTGATTTTTTCTTATTATATGTGATTCCTTAAAATGGACTGCAAATGTGCACAATTACTACAAAAACAAATCCCTCACTTACTCCACATTGTTATTTCACTATTTTGTCAGCCTTTCATTACAAATTCTGCCCTTTACTTTGTTACTCTACTTAAATTATAAAATCAGATTACAGTGCAACTGACCTAGGATAGTCTATATGGTGGTGGTATTATGTACATGTAAAGATTTATTGGAAGGGTATGTAGGAACCACTGTTTGAAGTCCCGTTTCATTTGTTCCAGGTGTGTTCCTACGTCTAGAAGAGAGGGCGCTGGCTGGTCCTAACTATGACCAACTGGACGTAGACTTCTTTGGCATATTCAACACAAGGTAAGCATGTTGTCTTGTTTTTGCTTTGATTTCCGAACTGTTTTCTGGGTGTTTGGTTAGCAGTGACTGTTACATGCTATGGTAGCTCTTTCCCGTTCTTTCTTTACTTTAATAATAATAATAATAATGATCATTTTTACCAACATTTGTTTATTGTGAAGACAGTTAAATAGTTAAATTCAAGTTAAGTGTTTAAAAGAAGCTTTGCATGTAGCCAAAGTTAAAAGAAATGACACATTTAAATGAAATGAGTTGCAGGTATTATGGATTATGTCATAAAAAAGTGCCAGTGAAAAAATCGACTTTGATCACTTGATGGGGGGCCACATTAGCTTATTTCTTGGTTGGTTTATTTATGAAACAAAAGTGAAAACTAGTCACACTGACTAGTTACTAGAGATCTTAGTTATATTTCATTTTTTTCTTTGGCAAAGGTAAACTACCTCTTAGGCTATAGATACAAATTTGATATGCAAGTCTTAGTCTAGACCAGATGTCCAAGAATGTCCACCTCTGTCATCAGCAGTGGGACAGGTGTTGGTTGACATATATCAGGTCAGTTTATTAACTGGTATGTGTCTGATGACAGTTCTTTAATGGTCTGACCTCTGGATAAACATCTCGGCTTAAAAGGCAGTCACCATCAAGAAGAGTGACAACAAGAGGCTGCTGTTGTATCTTTTTATCGTCTCTGAGGGAAAGGTGAGGAGGGTGTCTCCATAACTGATGTACATACCTTGTCATCTTGTGGATTATAATGTCAGGAGTTCACTTCGAGGTGTTAGCTTTCATGTTTGGCCATTTAGCTTGTTACTTGTGTGTAGTGTGACTGTGTACTTTTGTTTGGCACAAACAGGTGTTTTTTTATCATGGAAAGAATAGCCGTATTTGTTGGCTCTGCAAACAGGTGCTTGTGGATTGTTAGAGAAATATTTTTGCAGCTTTTGAAGTTGTCATTGCATTTTATAAGAGCATTGTTATCTCTTTCTCTCTCTCTCACATACACACACACACACACACACACACACAGAGAGAGAGAGAGAGAGAGAGAGAGAGAGAAGGGATTCCATCAAAGACAACACGTTCCCCCATTATAATGCAGAAACAAAGACATAACTGTGAGCCATTCTTTGAGTTGGACATGCAACATTTCTAGAATAACATGAGCACAATGCTTGCCCTGTGAAACACACTGAAAGATGTTCTTATATTGGTAGTCTAACACACACACTCACCATTGACTTCTGTTTGAGAAATATGCTCTGGAGACATCTGAAAACTATATACAAGTGATAACCAACATTAAAAGGTAAACTATGAAACTTCATATTAACAACAATTTTTTTATGCACCCTAGTAAGTGTGTTAATAGGAACAGAGGTTAATTGTTAGGCCAATTATCATAAAATGTTTCTATTATGCTAGTGCCTATATAATAATGGGTATCAGATTGCTCTTTCTTTTTATTGGCAATTAGGTTGCTACTTAGATAGGCCAGAGGTGCCATGATTGAGATTTAATGCGGTGTCTAGGTGGAGCTTTTACAGTGTATTAATTAAGGCAGAAAACTGGGGAAAGGATAGGTACCCAGTATATGGTATGTTATGACTGCTTGATATGGAGAGAGAGAGAGAGAGAGAGAGAGAGAGAGAGAGAGAGAGAGAGAGAGATTTGAGTAGTTACTGTTACATATGGATTACTAGTAGATCTGATATTTTAATATCTGAAGTTTGGCATTAGGCCCCCTTTAGTAAATTAATCTACCATTTTAGGTTTCCAAATATGAAAATATTATTCAGATGGATAATTCAATTTACAAGACAATGCTGATAACAAATATAAGGCATCTGTATTATTTCAGTAGCTAATTATGCTGAATACTGACTTTGAAATGTGTTGGTAATGTAACCAAGGTGTAAGAAAAGAATTTTTATTGAATATTTTAAATGTGCCCTTCTTTCATGGTTCTTGAACAGGTTTCACCTTTCCTTATGGTTTTCTCATTTTTTTGTCAAGGTATGTTGGTAATAATAATGAAAAACTTAAATATATTTGATGATTGTCGTAAATAAATCTGTATGAACAAATATTCACCAAGTATGCCTGTTTACACATGCACATACCTTCAAACCCTTACGATTACCTCTGTATATAAAAACAAAAAATAGCCATAAAAATCCGGATGCTAGTATTAATCTACAAGTGTCTCATTTAACATTAAGTGGCCCTTAAAGGTACATATAGTATTATGGTTAGAATAAGTAGTTGCCATTTACATGTACTTGATGGTGAGATTTATGCTCCCTTTGAGAGTTCATTAAAACACCATAAGAAGAGTGCGGTTTTGTGATTTGAAATACAGATTTTGACTTATAGACTTGGGATTTATAGGGCAGAAACTTGGCTAGATCACGTTTTGCATATTGTTTGATAATTATGCTATGATCTCTTGTGACAGGGAGTTGCAATGGCAGCCTGCTGAAAGATTGAGTATATAAGGCTGCAGTTTTATTATGTATGGAGCTAACATTTAAAAAATACCATTATTAGAAATATTCAAAGAACATATTAAAAGTATTTTCATGGCCATTTAACACATTACTTTTCTGGAGTAGTTATTATATATGCATGAACAAAAAAGTATCATATTTGCTGATCTTACCTTTGTCTTGGTCAGTTTGATTATTGGTAGAAGCATTTTGCACCTCAGTTTTATTATTCAACACACAGTTTTGTGTCTTTAAGGATGAATACCCCATCATATACCTGAGGACATATAGCCATAAAATAACACTATGAATAATAAATATGGAGATTTAATGTCAAATTTATGATAAGATTTTGCATCTTCCTCAACAAAAGGTCATTAAATAATTTGATGCATAATCAGATCTTGCTATTACTGTTTGAAAAGTTTTAAAATTTACTGTAGTAAGAACAAAAGCTTACAGCATTTACAAATTAAGAAGAGAAAGCAGAGACAATGTCATGATTGTCAAGTGGCAACATGTCCAGTACTATTTGTTTAGCAAATATGTGGGATATTTGTGGAAAAAAGAGTGCAGTCGTGTGACATTGGTGCGTATCATATCACACATATATCATCATGTTTGATGGACATAGATGTCACATCTCTCTGCACCTCTCCTTGTTTTCTCCCCTCTCTCACCCCCTGAATACTACAGTACCCCTGTGAAAATTTGTCTCATTTAACGTTCGCTTACGGTTCTCAATCTATTCTAGAACATTTGGTGTGTGTGTGTGTGTGTGTGTGTGTGTGTGTGTGTGTGTGTGTGTGTGTGTGTGTGTGTGTGTGTGTGTGTGTGTGTTTTTTTTTTTTTACAGTTCTAATGTTGTTAATGTTTTTGGGAACTGTTTTTGGGAAGTCCTTCAGAATGTCCTAGAACAGATTAAGAACATTTTTCATTTAAAGAGAAAAACATTAGGACAGATTGAGAATTTTAAGTGAGTGTTAAATGAGACAAATTTTCATGGGGGTAGTATATGGATGGCCCAGTAGCAGCTACAGAGTACAGCGTTATATCACATGTTTGTCAACATCTCTCATCTCTCTGCACCTGCCATATTTGGCTTCCCACCCTATCCTTATTTCTGTTGTTAGGGGAAAAAATAAGGAAGCATTGGAAACTGACTTATTTATTTAACGCCCCCCTCCAATCCAAAAAAGAAAAAAGTGACAGAATCCTCTGCACCTCTCTCATCTTTTCTCTTTCACCTATAAATACTGTAGTATATAAACAGTAGCAGCGACAGAGTACAGTGTTATATCACATGTTTGTCAACATCTCTCTCCATCTGTCACATGTCAACTGGACCTTAAATTTGCATTCCTCCAAATGACATTGATGGTATCATGGACCGATGGGACAGTTAAGCATTCAGTTGTGATGTTTACCTTCAGAAAAAACAAACAAACAAACAAGCAAACAAACAAACAAACAAACAAACAAACAATTAAACAAATAAAACATAATAAAGTTCTGTCTATGACTTTAAGCTATCAAGGATCGTCTTTTGATAAAATGTCAATCACTTAACCTCAGATTACTGGATAATATTTGGATCTCTTCACTGCAATATTCAGCTTCCCACCCCATCCTTATTTCTGTTTTTAGGGGAAAATCAATTACTGGAAACAGACATTTATTTTATCACTCCCCCCCCCCCCCAAAAAAAAAAGGAAGAAAAAGATAGAATCCTCATATTATTTAACCTAACCCAATTTTTTTTTTTTTTGAGATGAGATTAAATAAAAGCTTGTCTGGTGCTCTCAGTGCTATTTGATGAGAGAGATAGAGAGGGAGAGAGAGAGAGTAATCCCCATCATTCTGGTTCATAGTTCCACCTTACATCAGGTACTCTCTGTACTCCTAGTCCTATGTGCTCCATCATCTGGCCACTGACTCCACATACCTGGTCATTGTCCCTGCTGTTATCATGAAAGGAAAGAGAGATACACTTGGCATATTGTCAATGTGATTATCATGAAAACATCGGGCCACTGGATAGCTCTCTAGGAGACACTGGAGTACTCAAGGAGGCTCACCATCATAATGGCCAGAAAACTTTGGGTCAGTTGTAGGGTCACTTAGATGTGGTGTTTAGTGGACATTTTGCTACAGATGTAATAAGGATTAAGGAACACCTGAGACTGTGGACATTGGGGCATTTAACACTGTAGAAAAGAACAGGTGAATGTGTTATTTCATAAGCTCGGTCAGGAGTTTGTGGTCTCCTGTTGTTTGGTTTCACAGAGATCATTCCATTGTTATAAATTAATTATGATGATTATTTAGGTTTTTCATGGTATTCAGTATTTATTTATTGCAATAACAGTTGGTCTTTTAATTAAGCTAAGGTAAGGTGGAGGTGATTTACTACATATTATATTATTGGTTTTATTATAAATGAATCTCAATAATGACCCCACTTTAAAAATGATTTTCCATCCAGTTTTCTTCAAACAAGTAGTGTTAATG